GGTTCCTAACTCAAAATAGTCCTTTAGAGTTTAATTTTATGTTAAAAAACATAAATTTAACTAAGGGCAAATAGTCATCATTTGGAACGGTATGATCAATTATCCATAGAGAGGCTTAGGGCAATGGTTATTTTGCTATGGATAAGCATTGAAAAAGTCAAGGATGAGTAGGCTTCATTGCATTTAATGGCATTAATTAAGTAATATTATGTCATTGTGAAATGACCAAAATGCCCTTATATGAAGAATTAAGGACTATGAGTTATACAATTAAAATAATTGGGCCAATTGCTATTTTGGAAAATAAATGAAAAATTTTCCTATAATGAATGAAATTCGTTCAAGCCAAGGAGAGAGAGCCTTTCTTCAACATTTCTTCCATTTTCTCTCAAATCTTCCATGAAACAAGCTTTCTTTCTCTAAGTTTTAAAGGAGTTTTGCTTAATTTTTCAAGAGAACAAGATAGGAGCCTTGATCTTCAATTTGAAGGGTTTAAGTAAGGATTAAAAACTTAGTTTTGATGTATTTGAAGAGTTGAATTAGATGTTAGGTATAATTTTTATATATGTAGGATTAAGTGTAAAAGTCAAAGGCAAAGGATTGTTGGAGGAAGTCTTTAAAAAGGTAAGGAAGAACCTCCCATGACTTTAGAGTTTAGGCTAGGGTTTGTGGATTTTTAATAAACCTTAATAGCTTTAAGGCATAGAATTAGTTGATGGCAAGTGTAGTTGAACTCATTTATTCTACTTATTGCCTTGAATTCATTATACATGAAGTTATTGCTCTTTATGTTTTTGAGTTGTTATGTTGATTGAAGAAAATGAAGGTGGAACTGATGTGGGCAAAAATTGTAGTATTGGAGCCACATGGTGTTGAATGGTTGCTATTAGAAATGTTGATGTGTTGTTTGCATTAGCTTACAATGTTATAACAATATAATGATTATGGGAATGAGATTTTACACTTCCTTTAGGATGTTAAAGACTATAAGGGGAGGTTTATTTGATCCATAGTTACTATTGGTTAATGTCAATAGGAATTGATGTGGCATAGTTAATATGAAAATTCGGATTTAGTGGGCTTAGGGTTTTGTTAACCCTGCTTCAGTATTTTGACCATACCTTGAGTTATAAAATCTAAATGATATGATTCTGAAGCATAGAAATCTAAGACACAGACCTATAACTTTTATGTTTATGCCAAGAGCCAATTCGTTTGAGAAGAGAGGGAAAATGGCCTGAAGCATAAACTGGTTATTAAAGTTTAAGTTTAACATAATCAATTCTTATGATTATGAATTGATTATTAATGTATTATTGTAATTATGCCATGTACTAATGTTTACCCATTAGTTAGATGATCTTTGAAAGATATACATGGTCATGATGTCATGCTGATTAATGTTATGAAATGGCATGAAGATGCAATGTAATACATGTTTTAAGATGATGTATGTGAGCAAGAGGTAATGTAAATGGGTTGATAATCCATAGATGAATTAAAAGTATTAGCTCACCAAAATATGTTATTTACATGCCAAAGATGTTAGAGAGTGCAAATGACATGATAGAGATGCATATAGACATGATGGAATCGCGTAAGCACTATCTGTATACGGTTGAGGAAAGATGAATATATGCTTTAGATGCTAAATAACGCGTAAGCACGTCTCCCGATGATATGAGCTCTAGATGATTTGAGGCAGATGATGAAGTGCTTAAGATGCTAAGAAAGGTCCGATCGGCTAGACGTTAAATGTTTCATATGCATTTAGTTGCATTACATGAGTTATATGTTATTTACATCATGAGATGATTTATACTCATGTTAGATGATTTTAGATGTTATGTTATGTCATGACATGTGATGTGTGGTGTACTATTGTTTACATACTTATTTGTATGTGTACACATTGATGTTTATCTAGCCATGGGATAAAATGATGAAAAGCATATGATTTAGAATAAAAGGGGAAGTATCCCAGATGTAAAATAAGCGTGTGTTAATAAATATGTTAAATAAAGATCAAACGTACATTCAGAATGAAACGGATCATTCCTTACTGAGCGATTAGCGCTCACCCTTTCATTGTTGATTGCTTTGCAGGTAAACTAAAAGCGAGGGATGCTAGAGACAGCGGACTACACGTGAGGGAGATGATTTATTGTCATCTCGATGTTTTTATCTTTGTAATAATGTAAATGATAAATATTTGTGAAATACCTTTGAACTTCCACCCTATAAATATGTTTTGATTGTATAATTTCTTAAAGTTTGTAAATTATAAGTTTGGATCATGTGTGACATTATATGCATGTTTTGGATTATTATTATTATCCTTACACGGATTTTTCTAAATACAACTCGTTCTCCAGACCTGTATGCCTCGGGATTCTCATTGAGGGATATTTAGAGGATACCTAACTGGAGGGGGGTTTTACAAGGATCCTTGGGATTGACATCAATAGGGACAGACCAAAGAAGGTCCTAACTCTATCTCAAAAAGGTTATATCAGAAAAATAATACAGGCCTTTCATATGGCAGAAGCAACGCCGGTTACAACTCCCATTGGTACTCATTTTAAGCTTGCTGCCAGTGATGAGTTTGCTACGTCTGAAAAAGATTGGTATATGAAAGATATCCCTTATCAAAGTTCTGTGGGGAGCCTCATGTATGCAATGGCATGTACCAGAGCTGATATTGCATATGGAGTCAGCTTGGTGAGTCGGTTTATGAGCAAACCGGAGAAGGTTCACTGGTAAGCTACTAAATGGATTTTAAGGTATCTGAAGGGCACCATTGATGTTGGCTTAAAGTACACTGGGTTAGATTGCTCCAAGATTGAAGTAGAAGGATATTGTGATTCAGACTATGCAGGTGACTTAACCAAAAGAAGATCTCTAACGGGCTATGTGTTCACGATTGGAGGAAATCTGGTGAGCTGGAAGTCCTCCCTTCAGCATGTGGTTGCCATATCTACCACAGAAGCAGAGTACATAGCCATTACCGAGGCAGTGAAAGAAGCTCTCTGGTTGAAAGGAATTGTCAATGAACTAGGCCTGCAACAGGAATGTATCAATGTTCATTGTGATTCTCAAAGTGCTATTCACCTGAACAGAAACAGCATGTACCACGAAAGGACCAAACACATAGACGTTAAGCTGCATTTTATCAAGGACATAATTGACAAAGGATTTGTGACAATGAAAAAGATTTCTACTTTGACAAACCCTGCTGACATACTGACGAAAGGAGTTCCAACTAGCAAGCTTCACTCAGCTTTGGAATTCCTAGGAGTTCAGAAAACTTAGTAGCTTTGAGGGCATGCAGGGTACCTATTTGTTTCACCATGTAAATAAGAGTCAAGGTGGAGATTGTTGGATAATGCCTCTTATTTGTTAAGAGAATAAGACAGTTATCCAGCTGCATGGGAAAGGTTTGTTACGTTAGTTATTTGCTAACTAACTTGGCTAACATCACTTAGCTGTGATAACCTCCTAAATCACAGATACATTTCGTCATAGGCTCATATATAAAAGAGTAGTCTGTACTTTCTGTTTTAAGAGAGAGGCGTGAGAGTTAGTTTTCAGATTGTAATTCTCAGATTAGTGGTTGTATCAGACTTCATCATAGTGGACTATCTAGGGCCTTAAAACCCTGCCTTGGAGTAGGATTCTTCAGTTGAATCCGAACCAAGTAAATCACTTGTGCTTCTTTCTTCTTCCTATTTTCTTCTATCTTTGTTTTGCTTTATTCTTCTGGGTGTTTCTTGATCGTGTTGAACTCTCTCTTGGAGGATTTCTGGGTATTATCCTCAACAATTTCTTTAAACTTAATAAATATGATTTTGATATAGGACAAATCTCTTATTACCGGAGAATTTCTTTCTAAATGGTTTTTAATTTAATTTACTGTTAAGAAATTAGAACTTTTTTATACGAATTTCTATGTTAATATCATTTCTTTTATTTGATGTGATTAATATTATTGACAATGATCGTTTTCAAACATTGAAACGTGCCGATGACCAATTGTATTGAATAAAAAACTTATCAATAATTATTAAAGTTATAATATTTATCATGATGTTGAAAATTATAAATTATCACACTTTTTGAAATTCGCCTCTTTCTTGAATTCTTGACTTCACCCACTGATTGGATGGTTGTGCATATTATTGTGACACATGAGATAAATTTTCTCATGGTAACTTGATCCCACTTATTTCAGGCTTTGGTTCATGAAACTTTTTATGAAAATCAGTTATCTAGAAGTTCACTGTACCGTAACTACTAAGTCTTGGGCTTGCCGATCTTATTCGTTATGTCGGGTTGTCCATGAAAGGGGAAGGAGAAAGAGAAATGAAGCAGCCAGACGTTTTGAGCTGTCCATGAAAGGGGCTTGCCGATCTTATTAATTACATCGATCTTAACATAAGTTTGTGTTTGCGGATGAACGTATAAGATGGGTCAAAGATTTGTGAAATCAATTGACAGCTTAAATTGGTGTCTCTTGTGGAAACGTATTACAAAAGAATTGTATTTCAAGTGAGTGTCCTTAATAGTAGACCAAAACTACGAAGATTTTGGAGCCCTAGAAGTCATTATCATTATCAATACTACTTACTGGGAGCCATAGAAGCCAGAAAAGCCTTTGGCCCTTCTTTTACGTTTGTCCCTTCTTAAATGTTCCTCCACTTCTGAGCAAGACCTCCCTTTCTATATGTTTGTCCAGTCTTATACGTTTGCCCCTTTCTATATGTTTGATGTTAATATTCAGCCCATCTTATACGTTCCTCCAATCTTGAGCAAAAAGTCATTATCATTATCGTATAATACTTTTGACTGGAGTTGCAATAGCAAATATAGATGACGTTCATGTAGTGGGGCTGCTTTGCTTTTATGAAGTCATTTACAACAATTATGAACTGCCTATAAATTCATCTCAATTCTTGTAGCTTAAGCACCATACTTGATTATCTATTCTACTTGCATACATCATGACGCCATCCTCAAATTTCTTCTCATTTATGCACTTGCTTCTTTTGTTCGCTTTATTTAATCTTATTGTCTTGGCTCACTTTACTTCTTTTGCACAAGCACTCTGTCATGATAATGAGCATTCTTCCTTGTTGCGGTTCAAGGAAAGTCTAGTCATTGATAAGTCTGCTTCTTGTGATCCTTCAGCTTATCCAAAGGTCGCATCCTGGAAGACAGATAAAGATTGCTGCTCATGGGACGGCATCACCTGCAATGAGGTTACCGGTCATTTGATCGCACTTAACCTCACTAGTAGCTGCCTTTATGGTTCTATCAACTCTACCAGTACTCTCTTCCAACTTGCCCATCTGGAATGGCTCAGCCTGGCTGATAATGACTTCATTGGCTCTAGGATCCCTTCCAAAATCATGAACCTTTCTAAGTTATCATATCTGAACCTATCCATTTCTGGCTTTTCTGGTCAAATACCATCAGAGTTCCTAGACCTCTCAAAGTTGGAGACCCTTGACGCATCGTTTAATGATAACTTGGAGCTCCAAAAGCCAGGTCTAAGAAGTCTAGTTGAGAAGTTAACTCACCTCAAAGTGCTAAATCTTTCCTGGGTCAACATTTCTTCTTCAGTACCTGATATCTTGGCAAATCTATCTTCGTTGACTGAGTTATCCCTCAAGCATTGTGAATTGCAAGGAGAGTTTCCTACAAAGATATTCCAATTACCCCGCCTTCACTTTCTCAGTGTGCAGTACAATCAAGGCCTCTCTGGGTACTTGCCAGAATTTGAAAAGAGCAGCCTTCTTCAATATTTGATGCTTGCAGGCACGAGATTCTCTGGTGAGGTTCCATATTCAATTGGGAATCTTAATTCCTTAATTCTCTTGGATATTCACGATTGCAATTTTTCAGGATCAATTCTGTCTTCACTTGGTAATCTTACCAAGATCACTTATCTTTACTTGTCTGGAAATCAATTTTCAGGCAAGTTGTCAACTCTGGTTGGAAATCCATCTTCTTTAAAAGAATTGGACCTTTCACATAACACTTTTTCAAGCCAAGATTCTTGTTCATTGTCGTGGATGGCTAAGTATAGTAAGCTTACTTATTTAGGCCTTTCACAAATCAACTTGTTTGGTGAAATTCCCTCTTGGCTCATGAACCTAACACATCTTACACATTTATATATGAGCCAGAACGAATTAAAAGGTCCTATTCCATATTGGCTTATGAACCTAAGCCAATTGGAGGAGCTATCATTGTCATCTAATCGTTTGATTGGCGATATCCCTTCTCAAATTGGAAACCTAACGCAGCTGCAGGTTCTTGCACTTGGGTCAAATATATTGCAAGGCGCATTTCCTATTGCTCTCTATGACCTCGAGAATCTCCGTGTGCTTGACCTCGCTTCAAATAATCTAAATAGCACAGTAGATATGAACATGCTTTCTTATAAACTCAGAAGTTTAAAATTTTTAATTCTGTCCTCAAACAATTTATTGTTGCTCACCAACACCAAAGTTCATACAAAATTTCCGCAACTTTCAGTTCTCGAATTGCGGTCATGCAACCTTATTGAGTTCCCAAATTTCCTGCAGAACCAAGATCAATTGGAGATTCTAGATCTTTCCTCAAACAAGATAGCTGGCCAAATACCTGGATGGTTTTTGAATTCAAGTGTGGATTTGTTGCTAAACTTGAACCTTTCCAACAATTTCTTAACCGGCTTTGACCAACATCCTCTTAATTTTTCATGGACTCGACTAGAAACTTTAGACTTAAGTTTGAATAAGTTGCAAGGACCACTCCCAGTTCCCCCACCGTCCACCATGGATTATTTCGTTTCGTACAATAATCTGATAGGAGAAATTCCACCAGTTTTATGCAATTTGAATTGGTTGAGAATTCTCGATCTGTCTCACAACAACTTAAGTGGCAAGCTTCTACAGTGTTTGGGAAATTCCAGTCATTTCCTAGAACTACTAAATCTGAAAAATAACAACTTTAGTGGAGGTATTCCTGAAAACTTTGTGAATGGAGAAAACTTGGGGATGATTGATTTAAGCCAAAATCAATTACAAGGGAAAATTCCAAGATCACTGGCCAGTTGCACAAAGCTAGAATTTCTTGATCTTGGAAACAATCAAATCAGTGATACTTTTCCATCTTGGTTGGAAACTCTTCCAAATTTAAAGGTCCTTATCTTACAATTTAATAGATTAAAGGGTGCCATAAAAGAACCTAAAACAGCCTATGCTTTTCCCAAACTGCAAATCATCGACCTCTCCCATAATAGATTTACAGGTAGCCTTCCATCAAAATACTTTGAATCTTGGGATGCCATGAAAGTTGTCAATGGAAGCTCACTAACATATATGCAACTTCCGGAGTTTAATACACTCTACACAGGTATTGATGAGAGGATTGATCTTTTACCATCGATTTACGATTACTCAATGCGATTGAGTACCAAAGGCATAGAGTTGGAGTACGTAAGGATCTCAAATCTCCTCACAGCCATTATTTTCTCGAGCAACAAATTTGAAGGACAGATTCCACCATCCATTGCAAATTTAAGAGGGCTTCGTTTTCTTGTTCTTTCAAACAATAATCTCAAAGGCTCCATCCCACCATCAATGGCAAACCTAACAGTATTGGAATCGTTGGACCTTTCCAATAACAAGCTCTCAGGACAGATTCCTCAACAACTGGAAGACCTCACATTCCTTTCAAATTTCAATGTCTCAAATAATTATCTCACAGGACGCATACCACAAGGAAAACAATTTGAGACATTTGAGACTATATCTTTTGATGGGAACCCAGGATTGTGTGGGAAGCAGATAGCAAAACAATGTGGAGATTTTCCGCCTTCAAAGAAAGAAGAAGATCCTGCAGGCTCGAAGTTTCCACTTGAATTTGGCTGGAAAATAGTTCTGACAGGGTTTGCTAGTGGGATAATTGCTGGAGTGGCTCTTGAGCATGCTTTTTCTCCAAGGATAAAGGTACTGTTCATGAAGATTTTTGAGAGGAAGCTCATGAATACATTCGGGAGAAAGAGAGCTCACAGAAGCATGATGTAAGTAGCTTTATTTATTTTTTGTTCACAGAGTTAATAAATGTAGCCTTAAGGATCATCTACTTTTTCACGTAGTCGTTTTTTCTTCTAGCAGTGTCTTTACATTTTGCTGCCATAGATTCTATGATTTCTCAGTTTAATTTGTTAAATTCTTACCCCAAAACCAGGTTTGGAAATTTAAACCTTGAAAGCTAAAGCATAGCATCTCACTCCAAGAACTAAAGGCAAAATTGAATTTGTTGTAGTGTAAGTACCCCGTCATTGAGCTTTTTCTTGTCAAAAGAAAGTGTCACCAGAAGGTGGAGGAAATTTGATACTCCGGTTTATATGTAGACATTATTGTTCAACCTCCCTAATAATAGCTCACTAAGTAATTTTAACATGTATCACATTATTTGTAAAACCCCATTTTTAATTCTTAATGATTATGTATATATTTTGTGGTTTTGTTTATTAGAAAGGCCATTTCTGTCAAATTTTAAAGTTTTGTCGGGGCTGAAAACGAAAGAATGGAAATGGTTGGGTTTGCATTAACAAAAGATAGAAAACTGGACATTTTTGGAGAAAAAGCTGATGTGTCGGGGTATAGTAGAAATAAGAGAATTGAGGGGGAAATTTTAAAATATTTTGAAAGTTTAAATTATAAAAAGGACTGATTTTCGCCCAGATGAAGAAAGAAGAAAACCGAGAGAAAGAAAAGAGAGAGAAAAGAAGAGAAAGAAAAGAACAAAGAAGGAAGAAAGAACGTTCGGCCGAGAGAAGGAGGAAGGGAAGAGGAGAGAAAAAGGAAAAGAAAAAGATAAATGAGGGAGAGAAAGTGAGGTAAGTGTCGGCCAAGTAAAGATGAAGGGAGATCACACGAATTTTTGCAGAAATTGTATCATGCATGTAGTTTTTAGAGTGAGTCATCTCACCATTTCTTCAATTTGTGCAATTCTAATTCAATTTTGTCAGTTTGGGTTGTCAGGTGAAGAGAGGGATGATGCTTGAGGCAGCTGGGCATTTCGGGTTGAGCTGAAATTTTTGTGAGTGAATTAACCGAAAAGTGTTTTAAAAACTTAATTCCTGTTTGCATATCAAGATATTTATTTCTATTATAATGTTTTGGGTTCAGAATCTTGAGTTAAGTATTTTATTTGCTAAACCTTGTCTTGCATGTTTCGGCTGAGTGAATGTTTGGGTGATAATGAATTAGATCTTGTTCCAAAGTAATGAGTTTTCATGCTGCATGTTATTTAAATATATGTATATGGCTGTCTCATGAAATTTGATGTTGATGGCTGCTTGATTTGGGGTGTGGTTGGCACTGGAGAGGAGTTGGGTTTGGCTTATGTTGAAGAGTGGAGAAAATTTATATTATGCAGATTTTTAGTAACGGAAAATGTTTGTGTTGGCTTATTACATTGTTGAATGGAATATATAGTTTTTTAGAATGAGATTTTATCAAATAATTAACTCTTTTCTTTATTTATATACACATATAGGTGTATAACGTGCATTTGGTGTTTTGTTCTCCAAAAATGGGCTGTTGGCTTAATTTGGATATGGTTTTGCTAATCAAAGAGTGAGTGGGAATTGCACGAAATCCCTGACTAAAGATTGAGTTTTTAAGCTTGCATGTTACTTTTAAGTTATCGCCTTTCAATCACTTGGAAATTATGTGTGAATTGAATTATTGAAATGTTGTTTTATTTGGTAGAAATGAGTTGTGGTTGATGTTGTGTGAAGAGTAGTTGAAGAAAATATATATATATGGGCAGCAAATGTTGAAGGTTAAGGCTTGTATGTTAAAATTCGGATGAATAATTTTAATTAGCATGCGATACATGTTGTATGTCAAATTCTAGTACGTTTTGTTTTTAATTATTTTACTAAACTATTGAGTTAAATGTGCTGTTGGTGGAATTGACTTCAAATTGGCTGGTAGATTCAATTGGAAGTGTTGAAATGCATGAATAAGTGGAATTTTGATATCTTTGGTAAATTTGTTGAAGGAAAAACACAAATGGGTTAAAATGTCAGTTTTGAAACATGTTTAAAAATTTGCAGTCTCACCCCCATAATTGACATTTTTTAGATTGCATGTTATTTAAGTGAAGTCATATGTTTCCATGATAAGGACATTATTAGATGATATTTAAGTATTGTTGTGGTTTTGAAACCACCTGGCGAAGTACCCACCCCCCAGATTACAAACTTTAGGCTCAATCCATGCAATGTAGGGTTCCACTAGGTATTGAGATATTCGGTCTTCAGGCTCTGCGCATATGTATTGAGATATATTAGTGCTCTGTATGGACGTCAGTGTCCACCAGGTATTGAGATAGTTTTCTTCAGGCTCTGACTGCGCGATGATAGATCTTGCCAAGAATTGAGAGATTTTCCCAGCTCTGCCTGTTTGTGGGATGCCCACCTGGTTTTGAGATATTTTCCCCGGATACTAATTGTGGTGAGAGTTTTCAGTACCAGATTCGAAGTTAGTATCATAATCAATTTTAGTTTAAGGAAAGAGAATTAATATTCAGTTCACAGTATTTAGAAAACAACTATTACATGGTTAGAGTTTGAGCTCATAAGCATTGTTAAGATAATTGCTGGATATACATAGAACATTGTTTTCAGAATTTTCTTGATGTGTTTAATTGCTTGTTTTAGTATTTTTGAAGAATACATGACATTCATTGAGCATAGTTTCGTTTTTCATAAATCTGAGACTATTATATACATGCTTTTTGAAAATGTTTTGACAAACGATTTATCCCAGTCCCCCACTCACTCATTATTTTAGCTCACCCCTTTTTGGAAATGCTTTTCCCCTCCGCAGGTTCTAAGGACGATCGTGCCGAACAGTGGGTTTTCCGCTCACGGTTGTGCCACGCATCTCCACATTTCTCATGTGTGTATTTTGTTTATGTTGTGAGGACAAGTTTTATGTTTTATGTAACCGACTCATGTTTTCGGACATTGTCAAAAACAGTTATGTTTTTATTTCGGGATTTCAAGTGTGTTCTATTTCCATGTATTTTACTCTGTGTTTCCGGGCATTTTTTAAGATGCTTATGACATACTGTTTTCAGATTCCCAATTATGTGTCTTCTTCATTTATGTTTCTTATGGGAATAAATATTATTGATATGTGGGTTTTATTAAGAGAAAAACAGATTTCCATGCGGCATTTCTCGGTCACCCAATTCTCTCGGGAGCGCCCGGATCCTGTGGGATAGGGAGGGTCGGGTTAGGTCATTATTGTTCAGCCTCAGGAATCTTGAGCTACGTACTGTCATTAGGTAATTGCTCTAGATTTGTGTCTTTCCTAGAAGAAGGGTTGCCCAGTACCAGCCTGAAATCTCTTCTAATTTTTTCATTTTACCGTCTGAAATCTCTTCCCAATTATTTATATAAGTTTGCATCGCCCTCAAATTTAAAAACACAATATTTAGCCGATTGTGAAAGACTTATTCCTGTCTCTAAATGGAGGCTGCATGGACTCAAGCATCTTAAAAAACAAATCATTTTCTGGGGATGCCCATGAACGGAACTTGAAGATAAGTAATGAGTTGCTTTGCCAGGGGAATACCTTTTTACAACTATAAATAGAGGTGAAATGTCAAAATTCTCAAGCTTATTTGGAGGGTTCACATTTTCATATGCCGGATTTTGTGCTGAAAATTTTGACAAGAAACTAATGAAAACAATCCGGCGAAACAGAGCTCACAGAAACCGAATGTAATTTGCTTTATTCTTTTTCTTCACAAGAGCTAATAGAGGTAGCCTTAAGCATCATGTACTTCATTTAAAAAGCTTTCAGTGAATTTTAAATGTAAAATTGCGAAGGGCTTGGAATTTGAGAAGGAATGCAATTATGAACTACTTATGCATTATGATTTTTAGTCGTTAAAAGCTTAACATAGCCTCTGAGTCATGAACTAAATTGGTTTGAGTCTAAGTACCATGCCATCAAGCTCGTTCTTTACGAAAGAAAACTTTGAGGACAAGTGGAGGAAGCTGTGATTGATCTTTGGAATTGGAGACTTAAATCAATATTCATCCTTCGTGTCCATGAGTGGAACGTCTGATTCATCTTGGAATTCTTCTGAGAAGAATGTGGCGGCTCTGTGGACAGTCAGCAGCGGCGGAGACATGTTTTTGTTTTGTTTTGTTTAAGATTTTTTTACCATGGTGAAAGTGAGTGTGTGATGGAGTATGCTTATGTATATTATAATATTCTGAAGCTGCAATATTAAAGAGCCACGTGGATGTTGGAGTTGTCGACTACTTCAGCATTAATGGGTAACGGAGACGCACTCGGGGGTCCCACTGTAGGATTCCTTTTAAGTTATTAATTCCTTTTTGGGTTGGGCTTAGGAATAGGAATTCTTGTAAAACTAGGTTTAATCTATTAAACCTAGTATATAAACATTCTTTTCTCTTGTTATGTGAGTGAGAACAATTCATTCATTGTAAACGAGAGAGGTGAGGCATATTGCAATAATATTGACTCAGCTGGACGTAGCCTACATTGGGTGAACCAGGGTAAATCGCACGTATTACATTCTTTGTTTACTGTTTGTTTTGTTTAACTATTATTATTTTGTTCCTGTTGCTTCTCTATTTCGTTCAGTGGACACTTAAAATAACATTGCCGGTTTAGTTAAATTTTATTGCTTTCCCTGTCTGTCTCTGTCTCTGTGATGATTGATGAGGCTGTGAAGATGGTCTTGTCGAAGTCAAAGGATCAGATGGTTGCAGGATCTTGCTCATAATAGCG